TTCCCTGCCCCGCTTCTGGGCCGGCCTTTGGAACCCCGGGCTCTCCGGGCTGCCACAGCGGAGCCATCATCCCTGAGGATCCATACTGGCACTTGCGGAACCATTTGGGCCTGGAAAACGAAGAGCTCCAACGGCTCCGGCTGGGACAGTGAGCCAGGATCCCTAGAGGGGCCACAACCGTTCCGGAACCGGTATCACGGAATGCTCCAACGTTTGCACCACTGGAGCCTGGATGAGCTCTGCCATTATGCTCAGAAAAGCAGGAAGGGTTGTTCGTCGGGATTCGGGGAGTATTTTTCGGGAAGGGGGAGTAGCACAGGTGCTTCCTTCCCTGCCAGCCCCGCATCCACAGAGACACCATCAGCCCTAGTGACATCCCCAGCTGGCACCAAGCCCCAGCGGGCAGGGAACATCCATCCATCCATCCACCCATCCATCAGGCAAAGCCGGAGTGGGGCAGCAGGCGTGTTGGGATGCCCCCCCAGCCCTGGGAGAACAGAGGCTCCCAGTGCAGACTGGACACGCGCCCAAAGCAGGACAGGCGGGAATTAAATGCCCAGCTGCCAGGGAGCTGCCTGGCACAGCGGGGCCCTGCGGGAGGAGAGCCCAAGCCGGGAAAAGACCGGCCAAGGGCTTGTCCTGTGTCCGACCCGCTCAGCACCGGGATGGGCAGCGTCCAACACTTCTTACCCCCAGTTCTCCCATTTTCTCCTTAGCCCAGCAGGCTTGGCAAGCACAGCCCTGGCCCCAAACCTTGCCTGCGTCACAGTGACACGGGCACGGCCAAACGCAGCTGTCAGGAATCCCCTTGTCCCCCCAAAGCCATGTACCCCAGCCCAGCTCTGCCCAGGCAGCCCAGAGGGGAAGGGGCATCCCCGGGGGGACAGGGACAGCAGGGGACCCCTCGCAGCTCAATCTCACCCCAGCAAACACTTTTCAAGCCCCACTGTGACCCTCCAAACTCAATATCTCATCCTTGCCCCAGCAGGAACCAAGCCTCTGCAGTGAAGCAGAAAGGGCCCTCGTCCCCTGGAGGGGACAGGCCACCATGGGTGTCACAGCCCAAAGCCGGGGCAGTGAAGACACAGCGCAGGGACGGTGCCTGCGCAGCCTCCACTTCCTTACCATGATCTGGGACTTTGAAAGGGCCTCGGCTCCCCCACTGGAGCCCCCACCC